TGCCAAAGCGCCGGGGTAGCCAGCAGCTCTGCCCGCTCCTTCCAGAGCGGGGATGGAGGGACAGAGCACCCCTGGACCTGTCCCCTACCCAGCAAGTGGCAACGAGGAAACGCAGAGGACCTGGCGTGTCCCCTCAGCCTGCGGTTATAGACAGGCCCGCAGCCCGGCCTCGTCCCCAGCGGGGTAAGCGGCATTTCCCAAGGGAAGGGGCTGTGGCTTCCAGCCCGGCCGCTCCAAAAGAAAACCAGCGCCTCCCAGGGAAAACTTGATCCCCCCCCTGACCCGCTGCAAATCCGCCCTGGCACTGGGGGAGGGATCGGCTGCTCTGAAGCGTTTTCTCATCTCACATTTCTGACAATCCCTGACAGCATTGCGGAGAGGTCAAACCACGCACAAAGCCAGCAAAGAACAAAGGGAACGTTTACCTGCTTCCCTCAAAGGCTGCCCGCGCCCCAGGGAGCGTGCCCGCGCCCATCAGCACCCCGGATCGGCCACCAGTGCCCACGCAGGACCCCAGGAGCCAGAGACCACCCCCCTCCGCCAGACCCCTCCTGCCCAGGCAGAGCCAGGAGCAGGACCCGGGTGGGCCAGGGCTCCCAGCCACTTGGCCATTGCCTCTGTCACCCTGCGTGGCTTGGGCCACCCCTAGGTCCCAGTCCCATCCCTGGGTCCCTGTCACACCGGAGCTCGGAGCACGTGGGGATGGCAGGAACGTGCTTTCAGGCTCTGCTACTCTCCCCGCTAACAAAAGGAGCAAACTTGGAGGGGCTGAGCCAGCTGGAGGAATATGGCAGTTGACTTGCCACTTTGTCAGGCATTGGTCCAAACTAATTTCCCTGGCAGAGCGCCCGTGATGACTAGATTGATAAATCTGAAGAGGGAAAGCAAATTAACACTGGAACAAAAGGGGAACCAGGGAAGGGTGAAAACACTCCTCTGGCTTCAGGAAAGGAACAGAGGATTAAAAAAAAAGAAAAGAAAGACAATCCATTTGCCTCTGGGCTCCACCTCCTGCCGTTTTCTCCATGCTCCCTCCTGTGTCTGGGGCCCGGGGGAACCGCTGCAGGGAGGTAGGTGTGCGGGGCTCACAGCCAGGCTCTGGGAGGTGCTTTGGGGGGGCAGGGAGGAGGCCCTGGCCCTGTCCCCTACCGTAACTCAGCAGCACGCATCCTGACAACTGCAGACCCCCTCTGCAGGCCAGCCCCTC